TTATACCCAGAGGTAGTGAAAGTTATTGTCCTTAAATGCTGTAAACCTGCTGAACAATAACACAGCCACACTAGACTACTCCCTGTCAACGTGTAGGTCAGAGGTCATGCACAGTGCAGGATCCCATAGTCTTTAAAAGCAGGGTCAGGGTCAACAGTGCTGCTCTTACAACAGCCTAAAGTCATAAAGAAAAAGAAAACCAATAACTGGATTCCTGCACAAAGTCGTAAATTTCACAGCACCGCCACTAAACTCATCGGCTGCTTTTAGTGCTAGTCAGGGTGAAAGTAATGCATTCTGGTTAATGTAGTTTGTGTATAATAAACAGAACTACTCCAAACCAATAATAGATGACCAAAAATATGAAGCATTTTCACAGACTTTGTCTTTCCCAGTGCAGAACAAGACACTTCTAAACATTTAAAAATAAGACACACAAAAAGAGCGGATGTTGGAGGACATTGCCTCCCTGGGTTCTTTAACATGCAAGCTGCAGCCTGCAACATGTGATAATTTAATTTCACACATTTTTTGACACATTTCAAATATCAAAATGAATGCAGTACTTGTGATCCTTGCTTGCGCACTCGGGAGGACTGCAGGACTCTCAGATTTATCAGCAATTGCAAGTGACGGTCATTTGTAAATGGCACTCGTTGTGATTTGTGTGTATGCAGTGTGGAACCCTAAATTTGTCCCAAAGGTGTTTGATGGGGTTGGCTGAAGTCAGGGGTAAGAGCAGGCCAATCAAGTTCTTAAACACCAAACCAATAAAATAAGATTTGTACTTCTCTCAATGCTGGAAGCATAATCATAGTCTCCTGAGGAAGAGAAAGCCCATTTGTCTCATAGCTTATAAAACACAGCAGCTTGTCAGTGTCCTTACACTTCTGAATGTGACTATCTAGGTATCACACTTGCGTGATTTCTGGATGCTTTCTTTCTTCAAGATCAAAGATTCAATGTGCTGCAAGCCGCAACTTATAGTGTTAAGAAAATTAAGCGGAAATGCAAAGAACTGCAGCTCCTCAAGTGTCCAGAAAAAGCCAATGAATTGCATGAAGAGGTGTGAACTTGCCCTTAACTCCACCTCTCTTTGAGTCATAAGATTGAACAAAAGTTAGGTATAGAGTCAGTATTTCCATTATAGCCACGGCAACCTTTGAGCTTTTTAACACCTCCAACCAGTGGTAAAAATCACTGAGACTACGTCCATGTTTTATACAGTCAGTAGTGTGAAGAGTATTTGATTTCATTTTGATTTATGAGACCTTTGAAATTCTGGATAATTTTGCATTTTCAGCATCATAAAAAAACAACCTCATGGTACATTAATGGGTGGCTTCTATTCATTACATTTTAATAGAAAGTCCATATTTAAGGATTTTGCTTTAAAAACAATGAAGACTCACAGTGTTGCATGCAGCTGTGATGTAAGAAATGACATCCCAGAGAGAGCGAGAGATAGAAAGAGAGCGCGAGGGAAAGATGAAGACAGGAAATGAGTGTGTGTTGTGTCTATTTTTGACCCCTCTGGTCCTTTGTAGAAGAATTCTGCCGCAGCCTGGTAGACCACACTCCTCTGATGGTGTGACGCACACCCATAAAAAAAGGCTCTGGCTGGCGGGTCACACACATGTCACCATGGTAATTAGCATGTCAGTGTGTGTGTGTGTGTGTGTGTGTGATTGACAGCTGCCACAGCTGGGTTGCAAAAAACAACGAGTTGGTTCTGGCAGGAGAACCTTGGGGAGTTGGAGACACACAGTACAAGCTCTCTGTGACCCTCCTACATGCGACTCATCATAAAAAATAAATGAGGTAGATCTTATTGACTTATCACTGCATCCACAGGTAGCTGCCAGGAATAGATGCAATAAAACCGATGCTTTACTTTTCATTATTCTCTTGTTTTCTGCTCAGTTAAAAAGTAAAATCTAATTCTGTCAGATTGGATCAGAAGAACTGCTGAGATTGTGCACAGTTAAACAAATGATTCGTAATCATACTGACTTAATTAATGATCGGTTAATGTGATGTGACTTCTGCTCTCTGGCAGCACAGTTGATGCCTTCAGCTCATTATAGAAAAAAAAACAATATGGCCGCCTGAGTTGCTCACTATCAACACAACATCACACATAATTAATACCAGATGTCATGCATTATGAAGTAGGTCGTTTCTTTGTGCTCTGTTTGAAATACTACAACAGCATGTGGTGCTAAAATTAGAAAATGATGTGGATCAATGTAAGTACACTGTAGATTTATACAGTGTATTTATAGTAGAGATGACATAACCGTATTTTATGCAGTTATTGCAGTAGCTTTTTTTAAAAACCTTTATTTAACTGGGAGAAATACTCATTGAGATAAAAAAAATCTATTTTTTCGAGTTTGTCCTGGCCAAGTCAGGCAGCAGGAATTGTATTCGTGCAGAAAATACAGACATTTAAAGTCTTTCGTTTTAAGATAAAGTTAAATACTTACATTTTTCATGATTTTTAATTGACTTGTTACTTCTTCTAACAACATCACAACTTCTCAGAGCCTTAAGGGAACTTTTAAGTGCAAATATTTTTGAATGCAATGTTAAACATGTACTATAGGGATCTAGGAATATATTAAAGGTGCCCAGTGAAGTATCATTATACCAGAATTTCTTATTCCGATACAATAGAACTCATCTAAACATAATCATCTTTTGTCAAATAATCATCTTAATATATCTTCTTCCTATGCCTCTACATTCATCCCAGGTCTTTCCTGAGCTTCTCAACCCAGATAAGATCTATTTTATGGCCTGTTGATATGAGTCTGGCTCCTGGTTGGGCGGCTGCCTCTGATATCACACATGACAGGTAGCAGGTAGCTTAAAGGCAGACTGCTTCCCCTCCGTTAAACACACTCCGACACCAGAACCTCTGCATCCATCACTGCAGCAGAGAGCACTGGGATACACTGCCAGGGCTATATCTGGCCCTCACTGATACACACGCACAAAAATATGCATACTCATACACACACACGCGCACACACGCACACACACTCTCCTGTCACTGGCTGTTTCTGCTAGTGTCTTTCTGAGCTGGGCATATTAACAGTGGCAAGCAGTATCTGCAGCGTGCTCCACCTGTCCTGAGGAGACAGCTGCTGGGGGATCAGAGATGAAATCAGATACCTGACTCACGTTGCAGCACAGAGCTCATTTAAATCTGCAAACAGGCAAAATGTTATGCAGGGGGATACACGTCTCAGGAGGAAGAAATCTGGCACTAACATGGTAAAACATCTATTCTGCCAATTTATCCAATTTGCCACAATTAGATTTCACACTGTGGCGCCCTGAGGATGTTTTGAGTGGAATCAAGCCAGACAGTCACCGAGGATTTGGAGGCTGGTTTAACTCAATCGAGATATCACTTTTTGTCTTATAATAAAATCTCTCCGACCAACCAGTTTTGTTAAAATCAGTGCAGTTCACTCATATTTGTAACAGTTAAAAAAAACACCCAACGTTATTGCTTACAATATAAATGTTCCTCCAAAGTCTTTAGAAACTCTACCTTCCTCATTATTGTTCTACTGAATTTTTGTTTTTTCTTGCTCTTTGAATAGAATAGAATAGATGTTTATTGCCATTTGCACAGGTACAGGGCAGTACAGGTAGATTGGAATTCTTTTGCGTTTCTCCCTGAGTCAGCTTCTACAGCAAAGTTGTATTCTATAAAATAGAATAGCATTATAAGAAAGAAAAAGAGTAGAAAAGTACAACAAAAAAAAAGGAAAAATAAATAAGTTGTAGTAACAGCTAAGTGAATTAAAATAAACTGTACAGGTCACCTGATGCTCGTTTTTGATATATTCTAGTTAGTTGGTTGGAGGCTTGTTTGTGTCCCTTTATCCACAGAGGCGTAAATGAAAATATCTGAATGTGGCTTTGAATAAACATAATAAAGTCTGTTTTGAAGTAAACTTACACTTCAGTTTAAGCGTAGTGCGGTAGAATAGACTGTTGAACCTGTTTTCTGTCAGTACACAGGTTCAAGATTCAAAGATCAAAAGGACCCTGTTCAAGGCTGTCACCTCTAAATGGAGCCGTCCTCAACAGATTAGTGTAGTGCCACTTTAAACACTTTGCTCTCTTCGGTGGATTTTATTTGAGGAAATCGTTCTCTGAATAGTAACCTGGTAATTACCTTGTGCTCCGGAGCCCTGCTTTGTCCTCTCTAAGGCTTTTTGACTGAGGGTCTACTCTCGAGCCTCCAGACCTCATCAAGGACCTTGAGAGACAGTAAGAAATAGCTGCCTCTTAAGAAGTCCATTTGGCTGTGAAGAGCATCACATTGACTGATTTTTCATTTAGACGCTGATGATGGCCTTGCCTCCAGGTTTTACGGTCAGGTCACAAACACATCAGAACGTGTTGAGTGTCAAACTGGAGTGCTGGAGCTATTCTGAGCCCAATCTGCTTTATTTGGACTCTTGTTATCGTCTTTGCTTGATAAAACATGTTTCTGTGAAAATAAGACTCGGCGCTTTATTCCAATGACCCAAACATGTTCACACAGAGAACAAACAAAATAGTTTCGCATTCCCATGAGAAACAGAATTAATTGTTTCCTTGAATCTTGTGAGTGAGTCTGTTCTTAATTTAGATATTAATTATGTCTTGTCATTTTGGCAAACAGCACACAAGTCTGCCAAAGATGCCCCCTGATGCCCTCATTCTGCTTCCTACCAGACTTTTAATCAAACGCAGGAGGATCTGTTAATTTAATATCTAGTGTTGAACACAGTTAGAGAAAGAATCTCACGTCTGAAATGTCTTAAATCCCCTTTGTCTTTCCCACAAGACATTCGATCCCACCTTCTGCTCCCCGATCCTCTGCTGCAGGCTCTGCTTTCCGTTTAGTATTGACATGTTTGAATAGCTTTCATGCTGTGTGTATGCTTCTCTGTGTGGTTAATGGGTTAATGTTTTGTGTTTTTCTCTCGCAGTGTATGCCGATCCATGGTCACGGGTTTGTCCTGGACAAGTACAAGTGCCAATGCAAGACAGGTTTCTACCACCCGAGCAGAGTCGCTGTCAACAGTTTCTCGAGTAAGTCAAATTCTATTCTTTAATTTATAAAAAAAAAAGGGGAAGGTGATTTCATTGGTTACTTTCAAAGGAAAGTCATCAATAGAAGTGTTTTTAGCTCCATGAAAAATGTGTATCTTAATACTTCCTGCAAAGAATAGTAAAGTATATGTTTATTCATGAAGCACCAACCCACAGCAATCAATCAGGTTTTTAATTGAATCAATTTGAGATTTCCTACGGAATCACTTGATAGGCTGAAAGAAAAATTCTAGGTTTTTTGTTTGAGCTTTAAATATTCTTGACCTTGATAATGCTTTGAACTTTGGACACAAATTCACAGCATTTTCTTGAGCTATTATCACTGAATAAGTCAGCCGGTTGAGACCATGACATGTGGTAGAAAGCTCCAGAAAAAACGTGATTTTAAGTTTGTGTTTTGGCCAGAAGGTACGGGAGGACTTCTCTTAACTTTTGATCCACACATTCCAGAACTGAATCATTAACAATTATCACATCCGCTGTGTATGCATGTGGAAACATCACAGAAATTTCGTACCTACAATGGTGCAGGAGTCGTTTTCACTTCTTTCACATACATGAACCTCAAATCCACTCTAGAGGATCCAGGGTTCACATAACATAGATAAAGACTTTGTTAATATTAAAGGGAATTAAAGATTGCTCCAAAATGACAGTACATAATATGAATTAGACAAAGAGCATTGAATATAATAAACCGTAATGTAAATGAAGGTTAAAAGCAAAAGAGGGCCTTAAATAGACTTGTAGAAGTAGCAAGAGTAAGCTTAGTATAAAAGTTATTGCATTACATTAACGGGGATATGAGCCGTTATACTGATGTGAATAAAGACTAAAATAGTACCAGATAATAAATGTAAGATAGAATCTGATATTTAAGTTAACTATGTTTAATATAGGCATGATACAGTATATTATAATAATGAAAAGTAGTGGTGTTAATAAGCTTGAAATATTGCACGCGGCCCCTGATATTGAAAAAGAATAATGTGCATGGAAAGTGAATTTAGCCCCATTTTTTACAGTGGCTTTGCACATGATGAGGAACATATTATAGGGCTCAGTTTGGGCATGATTAAGGCGTTATGCATCAAAATGTTCACCCTTTACCCCTCAAACAACAAGTTTGTCTTTGCACTCCAGACGTTTTCCTAATGTTAAAGTTCTGCAAGTCATTCTCCATTCTGTGAAGAAAAGCTTGATTTATTGGCTACTTATCAAGGTGTGTCATGTCGTTCTCTGCCCCATATTCAGCACAACCTCACACGACGCATTTTAGACTTTGAGTTCATCACAAAATAACACCAGGTCACGTTTCAAATATCTGTTAAGAGCAGCAAAGCAGTCTTTTCGGAAGAGACCATTTTCTTCACGTTTTATGTTGTTATGTTCTGTATGTACCAGACGAGGCCAAATGACTGTCTCCTGACTCGCCTTTAAAGTTGCAGAAACACAAAGACAAACAACATATTACATAGTTAAACATCTTTACTTTACAACTTTGGCAAAGTGAGGAGACAAGCATCACTGCCCCTGTGTGGAAATTGAAGTAGCCCGGGTACCTGGGGAGGCTAATCAGGTTCAAGATGGGAACAATCTTTTTAATGGGAGTTACCTTTCCAAGTTGATTCTGTCTGCTGTGAGTTAATTAAAAAAGGCTTTTGCCGACACAGAGCCCCGGTGGTTTGCACCTGACCTCCTTCAATCTCTCTCCCGTACTTTCATTTTGATCCACTTTCCCTCCTGCATTGCCTCACTCAAACCTCATATTGCGAGTTTCCTATATGTGTCAATCCCAACTCTACCTCCTTTCTCACCCCTTTACCTCTCTCTCCTTCTCTCAGTTTCTGCACCATCTTATCGCCACCGTCTTATTTTTAGCCTCAAACATGCACAGAAAAGTTAAAACTCTCCATGATTTCTGTCTCATATCTTTGCTGTCGTCTTCGGCCTGTTTGTGCACTTTGCTGGGTGTTTTCATGCGTGCAAGTCTGCATGAAAGCTCAGTGCATGTGTGTGTGTCTTTGAGGATACAATAACAGAGAGGAGAGGCAAGCCTGTTAGTGAGGCGTAGTGCCGCAGTCTGGCCCAGCATGGGGCCAATAACAAGCCTGTTAATCCACATGGGGACATCCTTGTCACTCCTTTGCAGAGGAAACGAGTGCAGCTCACTTTCCTTTGTCTCCCAGCGATCTGTCATATAAAGAAATGCTTAGAGTTACTGTAGCTGACTTTTCTCTTCCTGCCAGTCAACCGTAGTAGCAACAAACAAACGAAACAGGATATGACTCATCGACACAGAGATAAGTAGTCCTTTGGAAGGGATCAATGATGTGCAGAGTCACAGCTTTGAGAAAAATAGGCCAGTTTCCTTTTTAAAGGCAAAATCCCTGCAAATCTCTGAGACAATGGCTGCTTCCAATAGAGCCTCCGTAAAAAGCTCTATATAAGGCCACCACTCGTTATCTGTCCAACCATATGGGCATCCCTCAGGCGATTTCTATACAAACCAACGGGCCTCCAGCTTCCTGTTGTCCCCTGGGTTTGTTTTGGTTTTTACCTTAGTTTACCCCGGAAGGCATATAAGGCCGTAACTAACTCTGAGAATTTGTCAGTCGAAAAACACTTTTGTTTTTTTAAAGCTTTGAATGTTTTTACTTTTTTTACTTTTTTTAATTTTGGGGCTTTTTATACCTTTATTTAGAGATAGGACAGTGGCTAGAGGGAGTGGGGACTGACATGCAGGAAAGGAGCCACATGTCGGATTCCAACCCACTTGGAGGCTGTAGCCTCCGTACATGGGGCGTTCATGTTAATCATGAACCTCGAAGGTGTTTACTTTATTTAACCAACCTAAGTTTCACGTCTTAGCTGTAATGTGCTCTTCCTTTTTCCAAAAGTGCTGGCTCTTGTCCTGACATTAAATATTTTCCTGCCGACTTCTGTCTTGCTGTTCTCCAGTAATTTGACTCACATGATCATCTTTTCATCATTACCCAAGATTAAAGATTGTTACAGTACAGTTATTGGCAACTCGGTTGACGCAACCTGAAACCTGTTGGGGAACTATAACTGCAAGTTAACAACTGTGCATCTTGCTGACCCCACTGATGTCCTGAGATCTCCAAAGATGTTCTGCAGAATACTCAGTTTCTTGGACGAACCAGCAAACTAATAAACTTATTTTGAGACTAATTTGTAAAGTTTACAGCCGACCATGCAAAGAACGAGCAAACTCTTAAAATCAAAAAGACTCATCCTGACTGTTGCTAGTTTGACTTTTTGTGGAAACGTTGTCGAGTGTTTTTAAGCATTCACTGCTGTACATTAGCCCAGACGTGCACCGTTTGAATTCAGGCTGCTAGACTCACACTTAAACTTATCGTCCCCAGGGGGAAATCCTTCTTCACAGCAATGTACAGGTTTGACATCGACTAACACCTATGACAGCACGGAGAAAAACAACACTTTACAGTACCCAGGACACAAAACACAAAAACACTCGGCTAATTCAACAAGACTTGCTGTTGAGGTCAGTTTCTGGCTCGATTTTGAGATAATACATGATACATGAACCAAGATAAAAGTTGACAAGGAGTATATGTCAGTCACTGCACATATCCAGTAGCATAGCCAGTTAGCTCTACAAAACTATGAACAGGCCAAGCTGCCCTGTCTTTACACCTCCCCTCCTCTTCGTCCTTGTCTGGATAAAGTCACTAAGCACAGGCATGTCTCTGTGCGTGTGTGCTCTCCCTCTGTTATCAGCCTTGTATGATATGCCAGCGACTGAACAAGGTGCAGCAGTGTTGACTTTTCATGTTCACACATATAGATCCATTTCCCTCGTGTTGACACAATGTCGATGAATCCTTGTAAGGTCGGAGAGGGATAAGCATATATATACACTGAGGACCGCTCAGTTTGTCATAGAGGCACCTCATCTCCGTTATCTTTTAATACCGGTCTCAGCAGATCCCCGGGAAAATCCAATAACAGAAAAACCTGAAAATGACAAGGACAAGAAGCACAACCTTCTTCCCTTCACTGTAAAAAGTAATGCAAACATTATGGACAAATTCTACTTTAACACCGCTTAACAGTAAGACCTTGATGGCAAAATGAGACTCTCCTTGAATCACACATTTACACATCATGACGGCTAATGCGAAAAAAAAAAGTTTTCTTAAATACAATCTAAATATGACTCAACATTCAAATCCTTTTTTTCACAAATACAAAGTCAAGAAGTTGAACTTTTAACCCTTACATTTTAACGGGATGTTATTCAACGCTACAGTTTGGATATCCAGACATCCATCATCCTTCTACCAAGCAAGGTTTTCTCAGTTCTCTTGGGGGATTTGGAGGCTTTCACAGGCCAGAAGGGAACGCCTCGGAATCCCTCCAGCGAGACATCCAAAGGCAGGAGACCAGGAGGCACCTCAATTGGCTCTTTTTTTCGATTGCAATGGAGAAGTGGCTCTACCCCGAGCTCCCTCTGGATGTCAGAGCCTCGCACCCTCGCTCTCTAAAGCTGAGCCCAGCCACCTTCAGAGCAAACTCATTTCAGCCGCTTGTATCTACAATCTCATTCTTTCAGCTACTTCCCAAAACTCATGACCATAGGTGAGGGTTGGAAAGTAGACTGACCGGTAAATCAAAGCTTTCCCTTTTGGCTCAGCTCCCTCTTTACCCCGACATTATGCTGACGCTGCAGCATTGACTTCAGTCTTTTCTTCAGTGGATACAAATCTTCACTGCTCTGACCCTCTCTCATAGTAAAGCTAATGTAGCATGGCCTGTCTCTTGACAAGTGCAGCATATGAAGCTGTTCACCACAGGGGTCACTTGATAAAAATAGAAAATAATGTACAGACCCCTTTTGTGAGCATGAGAACTTAAAAAACCTTGTCTATAGACACTGAGAGATTAGCTACCAGCCATAGCAGCACTGACATTTCAAACCATATTGTTTTCAATAAATGGCCCATATGATTTTTACACATTAACTCTTCAATCGATCCTTCTCGTTCATACTATCCTTCCAAAGGATACGAGTATCTGTGGTGTAAAAGAGAGCACAAAATGATATCTGTGGAAGCCTGATAAACTTACAGATCAATAGTAACGACAGAAAGATGACGGGGTCAGATGTCAAGGCTGTTTTCATATTCATCTGATACATTTTTCCTTTCTCGTTTTCGACAGGGATGGGGAGAAAGGGAAAAGCCGCAGATAGTGGTCCCAATGCGGACGAGGGCTCCTCCAGCGACTGCCTGCCGTGCCAGCAGGGCTGCGCCTACTGCAAGGACGACACCCCTGTGTGGCCCGAGAGGACGGAGCCCTCCGCATGGCCGTGCTCTCCTTCCAGTGCCTCTGCCTGCTGATTGTCTTTGTTAGCATGGTGGTCATCTACCACTTTCGCAGGAATAAGGTATGACTCCTTACACATTCAGAACCACAATCCTTCATTTACTTTTCACTACGATAATGGAAATGACATGAAGCTTGAGTAAATTGACACAGTAATGTTGTTGTTTAGTGAAAAGGGAATTTGTTCTGTCACTTTTTGGATGAATAGTTTAAAAACTCAGCAGAACGTAGGCGAGAATTACACATTACTCAGTTCTCGATATCAATGTCACATCAGCTCTGTGTTTGATGTTTACTGTGCCGTACCATCAGCAAAGCCACTTGGATCAATAAACCTGTGAATCCGTATGTGGGTGGTCACAATAAAGCTTTGAAATGGTTTCAAACAGCTCAGCCACTGAAGCTCAAGTTAATGTCAGAAACCTGGACACCAACCAATGTGTGCAAACAGGAGTACCATAGTCCATGTACTCGCTCAGTTCAGACATTCAGTGATAATATGTCGTCATATACTTTTAAAATATGAAATATTTGGTCTGTACTTCTAGATCGTAACATAAAATTTCACTTAATCTTTCTCTTATCATCATTTAAATGGTAAATGGACTTGAGCTTGTATATCGCTATTCTAGTCTTCTGACGACTCAAAGTGCTTTTACACCACATGTCACACCTACACATTCAAATACAGAGTGTAGTGAGACCATCAGAAGTAACTAATCCCATTCCTATGCATTCATACGCGAGAGCAATTCAGGGTTAAGTGTCTCGCCCAAGGACACATCGGACATGTTGCTGCAGGAGCCGAGGGATCGAACCCTCGACCTTCAGGTTGAGAGACGTTGATTCTACCAGGAAGGAGGCAGGAAGAAATATTGATCTGATTCGTTTGTTTTGATGTGACTGACCTCTTGTAATCACTTCAGTAAATTCTCTACATTACCTCGAGAGTTATGAAGAGGTGAAACTCTAAAAAGTAAAACATTAATACGAGGCTCTGACGAATGAGTTGTTGAATATTTTTGACTCTACCTCTGTAAACTTTTCCAAACTTATAAGATCCCCTGAGCCTCCAGTTGCTACTGTCAATTAATTGGCTTAATTAAAGGCTTTGTCTTGAGCTTGCGAGGATTAGCCAGAAGATTCAGCACCTCTCTGACAGGGGAACGTCTCGCCGCTCTATCTCCCACTCACCTGAAGACACTTTATCATCCAGAGGTGAACGAAGGATCGCTCCTATTAATAAAGCAGATAAAAGTTTGAGATACTCCAGGGCTTTGTCGTAATTATGTAATCCCCATTTATGTGATCCCCTTTAATCTCATCAAACTAAGTCTAAGAGTTTAGATTCCGAGCTCTTCACTCACTTTGAGATGATTTAAAAACTGTAGTTTTCTTGTACAAATTGGTTCATTTTGGATTTTTTAAATTAATATTTCTCAGGGAATAAACATCTGGTCCATATAGATGTTGCTAGTATGTCATGCTGTCTTTTCTATGTGCTTTAAATTGGGTTCATGGTTGTCTTCCTCTCTCTAAAAGCCCCCTCAAGCATCTTTTTCAATTATAGAAAGATACGTTGTTAAAGACGTTACATAAGAGGGGCAAACAAAGTGCTTCAAATGGTGAACCCGTCTATAAAAAGTCCTTGAGGCGGGAGCTTTCTTTGTACTTTGTTTTCTTTGTACCAACAAAGAAGAAAGCGCCCTTCCCCTCTTAAATCCTCCTGGAATATTATGATATCCTGCTGGGTTGGCCTTGCGTAAACTGCTGCAAAAAGAAACACAGTTTCAAAGTTATATGATTTGCCCTGCATCTAAATTGCAGAGGGAAAAACATTGTGTGAAATTTAGAGCCATTACAAATCTGTTAACCAAGACCACAACCTACCTTCTTTTCTTTAAAAACTAAACGATATATAATTTAAATAAACTGTATTTTTATTTTTGCTATATTGTCCTATAGGTCATACATACGTTAAAACAAATTTGCACAGCTAAACACAAAAACTAAAATTGGTAATAAATGAATCGCAATAGGAAATGTGTTTTTAATAGTGACTAGCCTACAGAGAAATTTCTACCTGGAGTTTAACTCCACTTTAATTAGCATTTTAGCTTCTTTTAGCTCATTGTTTTGGTTCTTTCTTGGCGCACTCAGCTTTTTTACTTACTTTTACAGCTCTTGTTTGCAGCAGCAATCCACTGAAGGCCCCTAAAAAACATAAATTAACTGCTTCATGCAATCTCCCCAGCACAAAATTCCCCTTTGCAAGTCAGCCTACGGTACTTGAGCATTTTGCAGGTGGAGTTTATTGAAACCAAAGACCCAACTCAAAGATAGATTATTAAGGTTACGGTCTGTCAGGTGGCCAAGCAACCAAAATTTGCTGTGTGTGCTAGCTAAAAAGCAATAAACTACACGATGCATGCGTGGGAACTCAAGGATTTGTCATTGTTTTTTTTTTGCAGAGTATCAGAGCATCGGGTCTAGTTCTACTGGAGGCCATCCTGTGTGGAGCTCTGCTTCTCTACTTTCCGGTAAGCCTCAGGCACCTTCTAGTTTGTGTGTGTTTATGGGTGTATGCACATTGCTTCATTTTCTGTGATCATTTTTCAACGTGTTTGTTGATACTCCTCATACCATGCTCCTTTGAGCTGAAACAAAAACCTTCTCTCTGACTGAAGTTTGGCATTCCGTTTGACCTTCACTTCACTCTGTCGCTCGTTCATCACGAACAGAATCAGAGCTCAGAACAAAGTTTGGTATCTGCAGCAGCACAGAGCAGGTTTGTTTGCTTTGTCAGATAGCAAAAAAACCTGAGTCCATAAATCATAGCACTTGGTTGTTTGTGTTTCTGACCGCTGCATGGAGCTGTGATAAGCAGGTTTTCACAGCCAAGGTGTGCTTGTGATAAAACAGGACAGGCACTGACAAACATCCCTGGGCTTGTTGGTGACCCCCTGCAAACTGTACACAGAGCAGGCTGATGGACCCAGCAGCCTGTCAACACCAACCATCTGTTCAGCAGCCAGGCACGCTGCTTTAGACAGACTGAGCTCATACTGACATTAAAACAGAACACACTCAATAAAGTTTTACTTCACCTTACTTAACTGTCTTACACTTAACTCTGCACCCATAAAGACATGTTTTACCCTTTTATTCTTAGGACCGCATGTACTTTTAAAGTACATGAACCTTTGAACAATTATTCTTCTGTAAGGGAGGACTTCTGTTAGCATCACGTTTACAAACTAAGATGTACTAATTAATTGATCATGTAAAAACAAAATATAACTAATCAGATGTTAAACAGAAGGATGCAAAATGTCTAAGTTTTAGCAGAGAAAGTATCAGAGTTTTGGTCAAGGCCTTAGTGGATGTCTTATAGTGCAAACAAGCAATGGAAACTGAAGTTTTGAATACTTGTAGCATCTGTTTTTTGATTGTTTCCTTTGGCACTTTATGACTTTTTGGTACTGCTAGAAAAATATCCACTTTATCCAAGATTCAGACTAGCTCTTCGAGTCGAAAATGGTTGTATGTACATTGTATTAAAACATAAGAACATGGAAACAAATATACAGCTGTCATTTGCACAATTTGCATCAGCAAATATCAGTCCATATGTGTATTAGTTTAAACACTGACAGTGTTTGCCAACTTCTTCAGCATCTCATCATTCTCACAGATGACCTGACTCTGTCCAACACCTACGTACATACCATCGATTTACATGAATCTACCATCACGTCTTCCTCCTGGGTGCTCAGGGAATTGGCTAATTGCAATTTAGTTGCAATCATGTGGAGCTATATGCTTAGCGAAGCACTGCTGGGTAAATGTAATTAAAGGCAGCTGATTTAGAGTTGGCTAATCAATGCAATTTGCTGCGACAAGCTTCTGGAAAGTAATAATGTTTGAGTTCTGCAGAGTTAAGGAGAGCTGGGAGTCGTGGTTATTGGTAAGTGAATGAATGTTGATGATAATCCTGGATACAGCTGGTGTGTGTCTTCAATACTGAACACTAAAAATAGATGCTTGTCAAATGGTCCTACAAAGGGAACTTTGTCGTGCACTTCATAAATCCTACCTTGTGTTGGTGCAAAATAGGGTAATTCAGTTACAGATAATGCTGAAACAGCCACCGTGAGCACAGCTTTGATAAAATATCTAAGCCCAATCATGTAGAAACAGCATCTTTCTGTGCAGCACGCTAGATTGATCTTCATTCTGATGCATCTCCATGTCTCCCCTGCGAATCCCACATGAGCCGCAACTGAGATGCATCACTCCCAATCTAAATATAGATTCAGAAATATTCCGCCGCCGCTGCTGCTGCTTCTATTTTAAATAATTCCACTGTTATTAAGCAGCAGGAGATACATCTAATCCTGCTCCCATGGCCTTCTGCTTTGTGGAGCAATGCAATTTTTCCCCCCCTCTCTTTTCTCTCCTGAGTGTGTCACATGCAATAACTTCAGCCCTCCCTTTGCTTTTAAATGAAAAGAGAGAAACAGCGAATGCAGAAGGAGAGACACAAAATGATGGCAGTGCCAGAGTCGGCTATTTCCATCTGGCTGTGAGGATGAGATTGAGGAGGAGAGCGGACACGCATTTGTGATTCACAATGTGATCCTGGATTAGCTTTCCAGCCCTGTGTTTGTCTCTGTGCAGATTCGTATTGATGCTGTTGGGGGAGGCTTAGACTGGAGGAAAGTAGCAGAGTTTGGATTGTTATTACATTGTTTTCTCAGACTCCAACGTCTTCTCTCATCAAGCGAGAAAAACCGTCAAGCGAGAGGAATGAATCAAAGGTGTTGCATTGTGGGGCCACTTGGCCTAAACTTATCAAAAGACACTGGTGCTTGTTCATTCTTTAATTTGACATGACAATGTATTCAAAATCTAAACATCAATACGCTTTAAGAAGAGTTATAAATAAAAAGAATGATGCAATTTTTGTGTATCCTGTTTTTTGCACTTGGTTTGCCAACAGTGGTACTCTAAATTTCCCATTTTTGTGGGGGGGGGGGGAACTTATCTTAGTTTTAACTATGCATGATTGTCTTGCTTCTCCATTGTGTTCTGAAGGTGTTCCAAGCAAGCCAATCATGCTTGGCTTCCCCTTCATCGCAATGGTTAGCTTTAATAACCGCACTGTATTTATTGCCCTCACTTACGATCAAGACCAAAAAAATACCTAAACTCCGCCACTTGAAAAGGCCTTCATCAAGACTGTCCACCAAAAGAAAAACCTGAGATGATTCCAGCAAACGTACCAAAACAACATGCATATGATCGACTTACAAAACTTAAGTACATGCTTTTATAGTAAACATGGGGAGGAAGCGCCTGAAACCTTCACAAAGCCGTTATTATAATCCATAAACATGTTGTTTCCTAAACTTAAGCCTACTCTTGTGCTTAGACTTTAACGAACCTGAACCACGCTGTTGGCATGTCATCAAATTGATGTTTTCTTCTACAGTCATTTGTAAAAGGCTGAAGAAAGCTGTCATAGTTGTTGTTACGCCCAACCATAAGGCTCCACAAATAGACCCAATAAAACAAAATATACACCTTACCAAAGTCAAACCAATGGGATTTATTATCAACAGACAGACTATAGGATAACAAAGATCAACTGAGAAACTAAAACAACAACACAAAATCCGTGGTGGAGCGGCTGAGCAGTCCCAACTCCAAAAGCCTCTCTCCTGAAGCCAGCACTGGCCTTTTAATCACTGAGGCCAGGTGCACCTCGTTGTGCAATGAGTAGCTTCACCTGGGCAGGAGACAACAGAAGGATAGATTGGACAAACAGCACAGAGAAACATACAGCTGTAACATGGTTCATATTAGAAAAGGCGTATGTGTCATCAATGCAGATGACAGAGTCAAGGAAAAGCTGGCAAAAATGAGAAGCCTAAGAAATGCAGGTATTTCTAAGCAGGTCACAGTGGGCATTGTGCACGTCAGACCTTAAACCAATTGTACAACTGCAAGATAATTTGGAGCCTCAGCTCTCACTTCAAATATCAATAGAGCACCAAATGAGGGAGAAATTCCATTTTCCTCCCTCCATTGGAGATCCACAGACTTTGAGAATCGATGCCAATGAGCACTGAATCTTTTCTGCAGGCTCATGGTGTCTTACTCAGACACCTTATGTTGTTTTTTTTACTTTAATTCATCGCCCAGTTGTATAATTCTGAGGCTTGACAAGTCATCTTTGTAAAGTATTTCCTGTTTGTGAACATAAGTCAGCATTTTCAAAAAGCTGTTTAGAAGTGGAAACTGACTTATCGGCTTTGGTTAAACTTTGGATGTACATATTTTCTTTATGTAGCGCTTTCACAATCTGTCTGTTTTTATGAAATGTAAAAACCTTTGTGCAAAAACATGTTTATGTGAATTCATAGCCAAGAACTTAGCAGAAATAAAGCTGTATATGATGTTTCTGACAAGCCCTCACCCTGATCAAAGTAACAAACACTCTCTTTCAAAGATGTAGATGTACTTTTACCCCATACAGCTGACAATAACAGAATGTAAACACAGAATGAGACGGCCTTCCCCTCAGGTGCTACCTACCCATCTGTGTGTGCAGCAGTGCACGCTGCCCTAGAGACTCCACTATTTCTCGCCCTGCATGTTCTCCCCTGTGAGACGTGTCACGCCTCCTGCTCTGCTGCTTAAACATTCATAAGTGTAAATTTGCATTTTAAAGTGATAATCTCCAAGCTTCTTTTTATAGTTCTTCCATCACCTTTCTGCGAAACATTCATCGCCGTGTTGTTCTTGCAATGCAGATGACTTGTTAATTAGACTTTGATTCAGCTTTGATAAAAATGAATAGCTAATGAGTTTCTGTTGTTCAGCTGTGTGTGTTCTTTCACCGCACATGCAAACTTCTACTCAACACTTTCTTGTTATAATATGCCAGTTTTTGATTATTTCAAGAGCAGCGATAACAACTAGATCAGAAAAAGAATAAGTTGACAAAAAACAAAGCACATATACTCTTGAAAAAAGCAGCATACATAACAGCTTAGCTTCATGCTACATATGTAAAAAAAATAATTGGTTCAACTTTTTAAAAAAATAGCAAGCTAGGTTTTTAAAGTACTCAACCAGGAAATGAACAAAGCCACTCTCTCTGGACTTATTGACTTGCACTGCCTTGCTCAGAGAGATGTGTAATCCGTAACCAAATCAAACACCCTTTTTCTGCCAATTTCGTTCTATTTTTGCACAACGCTAGCTTGATGGGAGGAAGTAGGGCAGGCAAGCATCCCAGTCATTGGAAAGACATTTTGCAGTTGCATCAGCCACATATTCGATATGTTCTTGTTTTTTTCCAGAGCGAAGAGGAAGGACAATTCAACTAGTATTAGAAAGAAAAAAAAATCAATGACTTACCTTACCTTTAAGGCTTGAGGAATATTGAGTTTATTTAGAGACCCCAATGTCTTGATCTGAAGGAGCGTACAAACAAAAAATTGTCAGAATGTTAAATCACATAATAAAACCT